AGTAAAACTCTAGATATTTTTTACGTGTAAAATCAAAAGAGGGAAAAATCATAGGACCTCGCCTAGGTGAAAATATTCAACTAAATTTGAACGAATTACAAAGGTTGACCCGTCTCATAACTTAGAGGCAGTGGAATTATAAAATAGTTTGGAGAGTTGGGCGGAAGTCAAGCAGCGGTTGGGTGGAAGTCTAACGATGATCGGGCGGAAGTCCGATAGCGTTCGGCTAAAAGTTTGGTGGACGGGCGGTGATCCGATGCATGTTAGTCGGGCACCGTGTGGTGATTCGACAATGTTCGCACATAAGTCTGGTGACGGTCAGCGATCGGGTAGAAGTTTGTTCATGATCAACCGTTAGGAGATGGTTGGACAAAAGCTCAACGGTTGTTAGCAACCAGATGGAAGTTCGGCGACTGTGGGCTGCCAAACAATAGTCCAATGATGGTCGGATAGAAGTCCGGCAGCAGTTAGCAGTCGGGCGGTGGTTCAATAATGGTCGAGCGGAAGTATGGCAGCGATCGGTGGTCGGCAGTCGGAGGAAAGTCCTGCTACGATCAACGACCGGGCAGTGGTCCGAGGCAATCAAAGGCTAAGAGCTAGGTTGTCCGGTGACAATTAATAGAGGTACGTAGGTGGTGGTGTTGGAGCTCTTGAATCCTTAGATCCCTCTCCAATTTTCAGCCAGAAGGTCCTCATCATGTAGAGAGTATGGGTATATCTATAAGTTTTTACAATAACATGCCTCATAAATTGGGGAAAGATTATGGGTAAATGTCGAGTGCTCCATCGGACAGCCCATACTGATCCCTTCAATCATAGAGTATTTTTAAGCATTTATATGCATAAATGATGTCAGAATTAGGAGATTTTGGGCTCATTGGATTTGACTCGTAGAGCCGCTCGATTCGACTATAAGCATGTCATGTTTTGATATCATTTGGTCGTCCAATTATTACCTTGAACATTCTAAATATGTTTCAAACTCTTGATTGGGACCCATTTGAGTTCGGATTGGACCAATCTCAATGTTGTTGGGTTGATCTCTTTGAGATGTTTTAATTTGACTATAAGTTTATTAAAGTTAGTTTGAATAGTCTCAAATTTAATTTTGGAAGTTTCCAACTTCAACATGTCTCCAAATTTGTGACCAATTAAGACAAATTTTTGGTGAGGATAGTGATGTATCAAACCTAAAATATAAAGATTTTTCAAAAATATATGTCTAAAGTAAATCTAAATATAGATCTAACCATTTTATCAAAAAAAAAAAAAAAAAACTCAAAACTTTAGAATTCAAAGTTTCAAGAAGAAATAGAAAAAATATTAAATTGACTGAAAATTATAGATAAAGAATGAAAGATACATTTAAATCCATGGAAGAATCAAAGAAATTCAGTAAAAAATTGCCCAAAATGAATGATGTTGCTTTCTAGACAAAGTAGGGCAATAAAAGGAGAAATTATTACATGCGGATTCCGAACGGAAAACTGCCCAAATTCTGTGAAGTTACACAACAAATACAAAGCAAATCCACTGCAAAAAATAAAATTGTGTATTTATTATATAACATCACAGAATCCGAACGGTTCTCCCACTCGGACTCAGCATTTAATTGTATCCTCACATAAAATCCTTAGAGTTTCTGTCCACTTCATTATATCCATACTTTTGCTGAAAATTATAAAATTTTTTTCTGTAGTAAATGTTTTCATTCAGTAATTTCAAGAGTTTAGGGATAATTAATGAATTAGCTCATAGTTTTATTTAGGAATATAATTATTTTAAGTTACATAATGACATAAAAAAATAAAAATTAACATAATCGTACCTATTAAAGCCTTAATCTCTGAGATTAACAATAGATGGAATTTTTAAATAAAGGTCGACAGTGATAGTTTCTCTTCCCAAAACAACAATCAAATTTTCGATTGATAACCTGAAAAACTTTTTTTTTAAAAACTTTGTGAAGAATGAAAGAAAAAAAAAATAATTGTAATGATAATATTGGAATAAATTTGTAATGATCTGATCATGAGAAGAGGACGTCAGCGAATCCTATTCGAATTTCCAATGTCTAATTATTCCACAAAGGCTTTAGTTGGAGAAGATGAAGTAAGATACTTAGATGAGATGCGTGGGGCTTTATCTCATGGATTTGTATTTTCATTACTCATAAAATATATAAATAATGAAAAAAAAATTAAGTCATATTCGATCTAAGAATGTGTATTAAAACTTTATTTTAAGAAGTAGTAAAAGTCTTCTACTCTTTTACTGTTTTATAAAACAAATTTTTAATAAAAAAATTTCTTAAACTAAAATTCTTGTACTACAAAGTTGTTTTAGAAAGCAATAAAAAAATTGTCCTAAATGAAATCTTATGATGGAGAAAATTAAATCCTCATAAATTTTTTGGTAAGTTTTAGTGAAACTATCCCCTCTTTTGAATTACTACACAAATAATAATACTTATGATGAGCTTTATGACATGTACGGACATATTTTAAAAAAAACTTATTTTGGGAAATTAAGAGCAAAGCCAATTCCATTATATAAAATAGTTAAAGTAAAAGAGAAAGCAACTAAAGGAAAAAACCTATGAAGTTGAGCAAAAGAACAAAAAGCTCAATAGAGGAAGAAAAAAGAAAAACCAGCCAAAAACACAAAAAGCTGGCCAAAATCGCAAGGAGCTCTAAAAAATGACAATTCAAGAAACCAAAAGGCTCAACAACAGAATTTGCAGCCCACCAGTCGGAACAACACCGGTTACGAGAATTTCCATAAAAAAGGATATAATGTTGCAAAGAGTCGCCATCCATGGGAATAGAGTTGCAAATTGATCATCCTCGCCCGAAATACCAAACTCCAGCCATTAGCAAAAACCGAAGAGCAGTAAACCGGAAAAACCAACACACCATCCATAGCCAAAAATTCAGATGATAAATCTTAACTGGGCAAGCCAAAAAGAAGCAGGAACATCCTGAAACATAATACCATCACATGGCCATAAAAGCATAGCCAAGAGAAGCCATAAGTAATAAAGCCACAGAGAACCAGACGCTAACTTCTCATATTTTCAACTTCAAATCTTTGAGATAAACTCCCTTCCTAATATTATCACATAAAGTGATTTGGCTCTTAGAACTGTTAGCAAATTTCCTAGCATTCATTTCTCTTCAAATATGATAAACCGAGCACCATAAGAACAAATAATTCAACGAATTGTGATTCTCACCCCCGGCAATAAACTCCATCATTTGATATAAATTTGGTCTCATAAGAAAATCCTTTAACCTAGGCATGATAATAGAAATGATATAGAAAGAGAAGTCACACTCAAAGAAAAGGTGTGAATTGCTTTCTAAATTTGATTTGCAAAGGAAACAAATCGAGTCAACAACAATATTTCTTTTAATGAGAGCATCTCCAATTTTCAACCCTCTAACTAAAGCAAGCCAGCCAAAAATGAAAAATCTGAGAGCATAATGTTTGTGCCAAACCATTGAATGCCAGGGTACTAAATTTTCTTCGTTATAAAAATCTAGAATAAATACATGAAAACCATCCACGATGCCCAATTCCCAAATCAAACAACATTTACTAGCATCAGAGACAATAGGGATAAACCAAATTTTATCTTTAACAACTAAGGGACAATAACCATGAAGATTCCAACTATTAGAATCAACAATAACACCAAGCCGAGCGTCAGAAGAAAAGGAAGCAGACAAAATGTTACCATTAGGGATCTCATAGAGTGAAAAATCATGACACCAAGGATCCCATAGCAGGGTTAAGGAACTAGACAGCTTGACATTGAAACCAAAACTATTTTTTGCTTTAATGGCAGAGAACATATACTTTTCCACATAATGGAAGTGGCAGGTGAAGGGTTTTTCCAAGGAGAAAAGTAATAGTTAAACATATGGGAGGAAAGCTAAGAAGAAATATTGTAAATTCTCATAATCAGTGAGCAGTTGGTAGCATATCTAAGAGCATTGAAGGCAGGAATGCCCAAACCCCCTTTGTTTTTTGGCTTGCAAGTGTTACCCCAAGAAACCATATGCAATTTCTTAGTAGCAATATCTTCAAAGTAAAGGAACTTAGCATATAATTTCTCAATTTGCTTGGCGCAACATTTAGGTATAATGGATCCCTCAATCCAATAGGCTATAGTGTTCCAAATGGTAAATTTAAGATATTGTAACCTACCTGCAAAAGAAAGAGATTTTGCTTTCCAACCAGAAAGCTTGTTAGTAATAACATCAAGAAGTGAAGAGAAGTCCGCAAGAAGGACTTTCTTGATGGAGATAGGCAATCCCAAATAGGTGATCCAGGAACAAAAGGAAGGAATGTTAAGAGAGGCACAAATATCATTTTTAATTGGATTATTAGGGTGGAGAATAATGCTACTTTTTGGAGGGTTAACCACAAGCCCTGAAGAATCAGCAAAAGAGGCAAGAATTCCCTTCAGGGCCATACAATTATGCAAGGA